TATAAATGAATATCCATTTTGATATGCTTAAGTAAATACCAGTTTACAAGTGCATTTAACACCACAACTGGGATATACAGAGCAAGAAAGAGAGAGAGACTGATTATACTGATGCCATTTATTAAGTTAGCATTTATTAAATACACATCCCAAGTCATATAGCTATTAAGGGTGAAACCACTAGGATTCATACCAAGGGACTTTGGGCTTGCTCACTCTAAACAAATTAAGAATCATCACAGTAGCAGAAACTATATGATTATTTAATAGGTCTGACAGGAACATTAAGCCAGACAGGCTAATATGATCAATTAGTAGTCAAAAGTGGGGAGTGGGAAGCAAAAAAAAAAAACCCATTCAAAAGGGCAAGCAGTACACGCTAAATTGGAAAGGGCTTACAGACGCATTTTAAAATCTTTTAAATTTCTGAACTTCATTTAGGGGATATGCTGAATGTCACACACATGGTAGTAACATTCCCCCCACCCACCCCCCCAAAAGGAGAGAGATCTATCAATTCATAATACTTTTAACATGACAGCACATTAATAAGTTTATATAACTTGGTGGAAAGAGAAGAGCAAACAGGACAATATTTTTCCTTTAAAATTCCAGATAGCCACTGTTTTAACTAAAAAGACCTGGGGCAAATGGCCTGCAAGGATCAGTATAAGTAGAATTAGATAACAGGATTAGAGGAAAGGATTTATCACTGTCAGGTGACAGGAGTACAAGTTACCTTTCAGTTTACAGAACACTAGTTCAACTCTTACAGTTACCTGTATATCTTTCTCACCTTGTTTGCTGTTACAATCTCCTTTAATGCAGACTCCAACTTCTCCCCTCTTTTTTTTTACCTTTCACTATTTTAAAATCACCCACAATAGTCAGCATGATATCCTGCATACTGTATGCTTCTTGAATTAAATTATTAATTGAAAGATAAGGTAAAATACATTTTAATTCTATTGAATGCCTTCTATGTGCTGAGCACTACTCTGAGGACTAAAAATAGAAAAAAGTTACAAAAAATGGCTAAAAAATTTTAAAAACTCAGGTTTTAGTGGAAGAAAATAATATATGCAGTCTAATACATCAATTTAAACATTTATCATGTGCTATGCCTTTGAAAAGAAGTAGTATCTGTGTGGTACTTGACAATGAGATTTTCATACATGTTAAATGATTTTTCCCTTCGGAATGTCCCCTCTCCTGCCCTTACAGTTAGAAACATACTATAATGCAAATTATATATATATGAGATATGTCTATCATTTCTAGGCAGCCTCCCACTCCCAACAAATCACAGAAGGGGTAGACTTATATTCCACAATTTCAGGAAGAGTTGATTAGAGCATTGGCTGGCCAACTTCACCTGTTTCTTTTAAGAATCTGAACTAAGAGACACTGAGAGAGCCCTGAAACTGAGGGTAGTTAAACCAATTTGGACAACATGCAAGATAAGAGCTGAAAAAGACAAGGGAATTGAGATTAAGAACACAGAAAACACAGAGATGAAAGATACCATGAGGCCCCAGAGATGAACACAAAAACACCAAGTCCTCATTTTCCAAGTTTCCAACATGTACGAGGCCTGGCTGAGGAGTCAGAGATCACAGTAACATTTCTTTACTTGAATTACCACCAATGTATCTCTACCTCCTTCAGTCAAAAGAATCTTGATAAGACAGGTAACAGTAAAGTATCTAACTGGTCAACCAAAATAAACTGATGGCTATTCCCAATGTGGTTCATTCTGAAACTGTAACCTCCTACTACAATCTCCTTCCAATAGCTTGCTAAAATGCCATCCTATCACCATCCTCTGTCTTCAGTGGTGACGGGGGACCCGGACATACTACTGGGCAGTGTAAACTAATGCAACCTTTACGATGACAATTTGACAGTATTGCACTGTAAAATGTACATATTCTCTATTTCAGCAGCCCACTGTTGGGAATTTATGCCCCAAAAAGAGCTAGACAAGTACACAAAAATAAACTAATGTTTCCTTATAGCATTTTTGTAATCTCAAAAAAATGAAAATTTTTGATTGTCCATCAAAAGACGAATTCTATGCAGGCATTAAAAAGAATGCTATGAAATGGATGGTCACAATATACTGTTAAATTAAAAATGCAATTTGCAAATGGTATAGTCTCTCTCTCTTTCTCTCCCTCACCCCCGCCCCCATATATATACACACACAGAAACATGCACAGAGATACTCACACAGATCGTCCAGTCCTTGAATGATGATGGGGTTATGTCCCAATAAACCCATTGTAAGTTGAAAATACATTAAGTAGCAAATGTATTTAATACTCCTACTGGATAACAGAGCTTAGCCTAGCCTACTTTAAACATGCTCAGAACACTTACAATAGCATGTAGTTGGGCAAAAATCATCTAACACAAGGCCTATTTTACAAAAAAGTGTTGAATATCTTATGTAATTTATTTAGTAACAAAAGTGAAAAGTATAGAATGGTTGTGTGTTAGTTGTTCACCCTCATGATCACGTGGCTCATTAGGCCCTGTGACTCAGAAGAATCACACCATAGGTTGCTAGCCCAGGAAAAAGTCAAATTTCAGAATTCAAAGTACAGTTTCTACTGAATGTTATTGCTCCCACACCATCATGAAGTCTAAGAATAATAAATTGAACCAATTTAAGTAGGGGACTGTCCATATACATTTATATTCTGAAAAATATAAATAGCACTCTTAGGGAAAAACAGAAGAGAAATGCTTAAAAAAGCAAGTATATTCCTATCTCAGTATCTCAGGGGACCGGTTACAGGACCCCCTGCAGACGCCAAAATCCTTGAATACTCGGAACTCTTATGTGAAACGGTGCAGTATTTGTATAACCAAATCAGAGCCTCCTACATACTGTAGTTTTAAAAAATTTTTATACCAGTTGTTAGTTTTTATTTCATATAAAAAGAACATGGAGTTTACCAAAAAAGAAAAGAAGTATTCTGTGAAGAGATACATGACTTGAATTCTTATCCATTGCTAAAGTCAGAGTCTCCTGTAACACTTTAAATCACCTCTAGCCTACTTGTAACACCTCATACAATGTCAATGCTATGTAAATAGTTGCTGGTGGGCAGCAAATTCAACTTTTGCTTTTGGGAACTTTCTGGAATTTGTTTTCTGAATATTTTCAATCTGAGGTTGGTTGAAATGGCAAATGTGGAGCCCACAGACATGGAAGGCTGGTTGTACTGTATTTCGCTGCTTCAATACCCGTTTTTTCATATTTTAACATATCTAAAACTGGGACGCTTCTTCCTGTAATCCTTATCAGTGAGACAGCAGTTGTGACATAACTGTCACGACCCACGCATCAAAGCATGGATAGGTATCAACAGTTTGGGGAAGACAGCTCTGAAGACAATGATGGGGCATTTTAAAGAAATTTTGTAATCAATTCTCTTGATAATAAAGAGGAAAATCCATGGGAAAACAGGGACATTATCAATGCTAAGTTGAAAATTAATTTAGAAGACTCTAAAGAGATTAACTAGCCTTTAATTTATATAATTTATAATTACCTTTTCTTCTATCACAAAAGTGATACATACACACTTGCACACCCATACTCACAGGGATATAATTTTTTTTCCTATGCAAAATGGTACAAAGAAGATAATTCAAGTGGTCCACAATTTCACTACCCCGGAATTATTCAAGACATTAAAATAGGGCAAAAAAAATCAGTTGTATTATTCACAGGCTATAGTTTGCTCATCTGTATTTTACTTTTTAAACTGTGACTATTCATAGATAATTACCTCTATTTCATAGATTAGTATCTCTAAATTTGCAAAATCATGTTTCTTATGTAAATCCCCAATTTTTAACTGGTTGTGTTTCAGTTGGGAACAACATTATAAAGATAATAAAGAATTTCCAGGTTAGCTAAAAAGGACTATTTAACTCAAAATGCAGCTTCAACATAATAAATACAGAACCTGTAAGTTTTGTTATGGACTAAATTGTGTTCCCGCCAAATTCATATTTGAAGACTTAACTCTCATTGTGACTATATGTGGAAACAGGGCCTATAAGGAGGTAATTAAGGTTAAGTGAGGCCATAAGGGCAAGGTCTTAATCCAACACGGCTGGTGTTCTTATAAGAAAAGGAAAAGGGACCAGAGTCACCCAGTCTGTTGTATTTTGTTATGGCAGCATAAATTGACTAATGAAGGCACTTTACAGCATCATTTTAAAAAATTAGACAATGTCTTCAGTTTCAACACGGGACATCCTCTCCTGCTGTAGTTCTAGCATCAAGGAGAAATATTTCCTTCTATGCCTCTACTTCCTGATCAGTACAATTGCAAAATCCTCAGTTCCAACACCTTTGGGTTTTTGGCTTCTGTGTCACTGCAGTAGGAGTGGAGGGCAGGCAGGAAGGCTTTGAGACTGGTGTTTAGTGGAGAAAAAGGGAGAATGAGAGGAGGTGGGAGATGAGGAGACAGAAGAGAAACTGAAGAACTCTAGTGCGATGAGAATCAACACTCAGTCAGGATAGCTGCGCTCAAACCGCAACTATGCTCTTCACTGCTGTATGATCTTTGAAAAGTTGTTTAACTTCTGTATGTTCAGTTTCTTCATGTGAAATGTTAGAAATAGCAATAATAATATAAATAAAATTGCAATAATAAATTCTACATTGGGGTTAAATAAGACAGCATACATGTCAGGGCTGGGTAAATGAAAAATGTTCAAAATCATTAGTTGAATTAAGAGCATAGTCACTCTGATATACTCATCTATAGGATATATTATTTATTTACACAATTATTCCTGCTTTTAGAGGTATTCTGAAGAAAAGGATATGATCTTTAAAATCAGATAGGCCTGTGTTCAAATCCTAACTCTGACATTTAGCAGCTATTTGACACTGGGTAAGTTTTAGCTGCACTAACAAGTTACTGAGCTTTAGTTTCACTCATTACCCTTAAAATGAAGCCAACAATGCTCACCTTACGTTGCTTATAAGGAGTAAGTTAGATCAGGTATGTAAAGTGCCTGGCCAAGGCTAAGATTTAATACTGTAAAGATGTTATTTTCTTCCCAAATTAAGTGCATTCTTAATCCAAATTTCAATAGAATGTTTCATGCAATTTGACAAGGTGTTCTAAAATTCACCTGGAAAAGAAGGTATACAAAAATATCCAAATGAAAAAGAACATCAGTAGTTTTGCTGTTACACATATGAAAATAGTATAAAGTTAAGTAATTAAAACAGTATGGAATTAGCATAGGTATAGACAAATAGATCAATGAAAAAGAATGGAGTCCAGAAACAGACCTAGGTATATTGAGATTTTGCATATCAGATAAATATAAGGGTAAAAATAGGCTATTAAAATTAAATAAAGTGTTGAGTGAAATGGCTGTCCTTTAAAAACAATTAAACTCCTACTTCATTTCATAAACAAAAATAAATCCCAGGTGGATTCAAGTTCTAAAAGTTGAAAAAAAAAAGGGAACTCCTAAAAGTGAAAATATGGAACACTTAACAAAATAGTTGGGGAAGGCTCTAAGTAAGAGAGAAAACTCAGAGGCTTTCACTCTTACCATAGAATAAAAAGAAAACTCATGTATTTTATATATTCTTGTATTGCAATTTCTTCCCATTAACAGAAATGAAGAGCATCCCAATCCGTAATGTGATATTTTAATCAGTATACAAAAATCCTACAGGGGGAGAGTATAGCTCAGTGGTAGAGTGCATGCTTAGCATGCACATGGTCCTGGGTTCAATCCCCAGTACCTCCACTGAAAAAAAAAAATAATTAATTAATTAAAAATACCTAAATAAACCTAATTACATGCCCCCCCCAAAAAACAAAAATCCGTCTGTACTTAAAAACATTTTTCAAATAGTCTTGTAAGGACAGAGAGACAATGGGGCAAAATCTTTTTTAAAAAGGCAATTTCTCTCACATGAATTCTAAATACAATGAAACAATTTTCTACTAATTAAGTCTGCACTTAGTGATGTGTTGGTGGTTACAACCACACAACTTAGAAATGCAAAAAATATAACAGAAAGTTCAATTTAAAAATAAACATACTATGCTTCCATGATTCTAAACTGCATTAATGAATTGGATTTCTTAATAGTTCGTAATTATTTACTTAAAGCTAATGACCTTTTAAAACCTAGACCTTAAAAGAATCAGAGATAGGATGTCAACTATATTAGGTAACTGGAAGGCAAAGCAAAAATTGATACAATATTCAACATTCTAAAGGTATAATTTAGTAATTCAATAAAGAGGGGGAAGTGTGCTAAGTGGGTTTTTGTCCTTTTTCACTTTTGAATGACAAAATTGGGATTATGTTTTAAGTAACATGTTGAGAAAAAGGTATTTTCAAAGGCTTTCTCTCAAAGTTTTATTCATCTGAATGGCTCTCAATTATGCATTGTCACTTGAGTTCACAATGGAAAAACGATTTGTAACTTACAACAGATCTAGCATCTTTAAGTGTCAATTTAGGAAAATAAAAGATATCATATGTACTCCTTAGAGACACTTTCTTTTCATCATTCCATTTTTTCCTAAAGATTCCAGTTAGGCTGATCTCTATCACTACCAGAGCTATTTCTGGCCATTCTGCCTTTTCCCCTAAATTCAAAACTTCACGTCTATCCTCTCACCACCCACCGTAAGCAGGTATTCTTTCTAAGTGTTTAATAAGGAGTTTTACTGTTGGCAATTATTAGGAAATTATCAGGACTGAAAAGTAGCCAACAAGATAAAAGAACTGAAGCTACAAAGTTAAAGACCTCATAAAAGTTATCCTTAAAAGTTCTGTGCAAAAAGACAACCTACACAACATCTGTTAGATCTTCTTTGCGTTCCCACTAATCAATTATAGCCTTAAGACAAGGCCAGACTCCAATTGCATAATCCCTTATTATTCAATAAGATTGTTGCCCTTTAGTCTTTGTTACAAAAGAAAGTTTCGATTTCAACCTTTCCGATCTTTCAGACAGAAGTAGGTCATTAGAGATGGTTAACCTGGGTCTCAGGAAGACACTCATTTACAACTAAGAGAAAACTCCAAGCTCTCATCAAACATTATTTTACTTTAAAAACTCTCCAACGTCCCTTATTCTCTGACATCTTCCAAATTACTTTGCACAAAGTAAAAACTCTGTAAAGCTAACAACGTGAAGTTCTTGGTCTGGTGAGAAGGAACTAAGAATTTTTCTTTCAAAAACAGGTAACATCAAGTGTGAAGTCTTAACTTCCAAAGAGCGAGATGGAAGACCTTCGAAATTTGCAGAGGCGGTATGACCGTAAGAAACGCCCTTGTCATTACAGAGGTCGCAAACCTCTGGCCCGCGGTTGAGGCAGAAGCGCCCGTAGACTTCTGCCCGGGCATGCCGCAAGATGCTCCCGGGCTTTCGGGAAGCCACCATGGAGGGCAGGCCCGGCATCCTCAGCAGTTATCTCACGTCGGGCCCGCAAGCCCAACAGGTTCGTCATAAACACTGTAGGCAGAGACAAAAGCGCGACCAAGGGGACGGGTCACGCAACTGTCAAACGAAGCCCACTCTCCCCTTGACGGTCCCCAAGGCGACAAGCCTTCCCGGCGCGGATCACTCACCAGTTGCCTCAGGGTCGCGACTACAGCTCCCAGGAGGCTGCGCGGCTGACGGAGCAGCGCCCTTCCCAGAATGCAGCACGGCGGCGTCCCCATCCCTCCTTCTCCTTTGTCTGCTCCTCCTACTTTTCTACCCGGCGTCACCCGGGAGGGCCGGAGGTAAGTAGCGGGAGGGGACTCCGCGCTTCGGCGTGTCGCGTCAGACGCTGGGAGGGGGACGGGGCGGGGAGCGGGGGGAGAATGGGAGGACGAAGGGGAGGGGAGAGGGGAGGGGAGGGTAAATAGTGGGCCAGGCAGGAAGATGGCGGCGGTAGCGGAGGTGTGAGTGGACCCTGATCTCTGCAGCTCGATTTTTCTCTTCTTCCTCCCCTTTTCGTTTCCCCTGAGGTTGGCATCGAGGGGGCTGAGTTCAGGTGGCGG